ACACATGCCAATAAAGAGTGCTTATTGGTGACGAAGCCAATGTTCTACTTGTAGTACTTGTTGTTCTCCACTAAGCCTAGTCTGAGCTCCAGTTTTACCAGATTTATACACGTGGTTTAGAAACGTACTTTGTTATCATCAGACCAAAATCACTCCAGGTTGAGAAAACACAACCTGGTGCGCTGTTACACCGTTTACCTTAAACCTCTCTGCAAACTCAATTTGATTTGATCTTTGTTTGGTGTAACACAAAAGAAGTGTTGTTTTTTTCTTCTTGTCCATTGATTTTTTTTTTTTTTCTGGTTTCTTAAAAATAAGGGCGGATACTCGCTCTGTGTTGTTCGAAAAAAAAAAAATCTGAAAAGATTATGTTTCTCAGATCTGGGTGAATTGGATAAATCAGTGCGCTGTGTAAAAAAACTCCACTAAGGGTCTGAGAAAAAGCCTGAGTACACAATATATTCCTTTTTCAAAGCACCCGCTGCAGTAGTTTGTGTTTGACACTGATCAAGCATAATCATCAGGCGACCAGGGAGTGTGTGTGTGGAGAGCACACACACACACACACACACACACACACACACACACACACACACACACACACACACACACACACACACACACACACACACACACACACACACACACACACACACACACACACACACACGCACACACACACACACACACACACACACACACACACACACACACACACAAAGAGCATCTCCCCCTCTCTATGCTCCCAGTGCAAGCAGAGCTAACCACTCCAGGGAGCTGGAGACTCAATTAATGACATACATACAGCACTTGCAAGATGTCAGGAAGAAAGAAACACACAACTGCACATATGCACACTGAAGGCCATTCAATGCAGTATGAATGTGTGTGTGTATGTGCGTGTGCAGCTCTTGCATGCATACAGTACAGTATGTAGGCTACGTCGGCCTCTGGGGGAAGCTGCATGTTCTTCTGTATTATCTGCCTCTGAGCTTTAACATATATGTAACGCACAGCTACAAAGTGTAACCGGTTTTGAACAGAACACTGTAACTCCACGTTAAACTCAATGTAAACTCTATTACAGCTCATCAAACAGGAACTAATGGCAGCACGTGTAAGTACTCAATACACGTTTGACATTATGATCAATTGTTTATGAGTCAAGAGAAGACAGTCTGTGTGTCTTTATGTCACAAAACATGACAAAGGGCAAGTTAGGGAGTTATTAAAGCCTCATTGCTGCTGAAGATTAAGTAAAATACTGAAAATTATCTTCAAAGATTTGAAATGTCTGTACGTTTTTACAATTCAATTCTCTAAGATCTTGTAAAGATGCAGGCATGTTAAGACACAAGCAGTTAAAGGAAAATCCTTCAGAGGAAAGAAGAAGGTTGGTTTAATCAATAGACTAAATATTAATGGACGTCAACCATCAACCTAACAACAGGCTGAGAGCTGGAGCTGAGGCGAGTTTTAAGCCTCTTGATGAACCGTTACATCGCACCCACCTGTCAATCATGTCAGCTACGTCCCTAACTATGGATAACACGTATCGTTTTCCAAATCAAAAAGGAGAGGTTTAAAAAAATGTCACCCCGTACAGTTTGTGCCAGCGATGAAAATAACTAATCAGACCTATTTTGCTTTTTTTGTACCAGGTTGTAAACATGTTAATTTATGCTGTTAAAACTGCTTTTTTTGCCCGTATGTTTGTGACTTCCAGTGTCGACGAACTGCAGGATTTTGCACTTCTGCATTGGCTTAATTTTTCAAGACCTGAGGTTGCCACTTGGTTTACTCAGATTTTCACTTCGGTGCTTTTTTGCTATAATAAGAAACTGACTAACTGATGTTCTTCATGCACAGGTGATAAACAAAGCTAAGAACATTTTCTAGTAAAAGGAAAGGGAGGAGAAAACTGAGCAGAATATGAGCTGCTGATTATCCACCACAGACCTTCAGAGTAGGAAATATTGTTAGCAGTGTTGGCGCTGCCATGTTGTCTGTGTTTGTTTCCTCCTTCAGAAGAGAGGATGTTGTCTTCTGTCTTTGATGTGCACATTTGTGATGTTCAGATGTTTAAATAAACTGTATGATAAATGTATCATGTTCCGCTTCACTACATTTAAAACACTGTCCTCTTACCTTTGCGCTCACATGCAGCAGGAAGGCGTGTAGACTGCAGCTGTAAGAGAACACCAACAAGACCTCAATAAGCACATTACTACTATATTAATATTGCAAACCGTATCACAGTAACATCATGTTTTAATACATTCAACACGTCTCTGTTGTGCAGAATGTACTTCCATTAGTTTTTATGTCAATAACTTAAAATATAAAGCACCTTCGAAGGATGATTTGTGAAGGGGCTCATCAGGGGGTGATTAAAAAAAGAAATCCAATCAGTAAGGACAAACAAAAGAGAAAGACAAAGCACAACAACAGAAGACGCTTGAAGTCTGGATAAGGATTGTAAAGGATAAAATGGACAAATAAAGCTAAATAAACAGGAATAAAACAAGAATAACTGAAGATGAAGTCCAATTACTGCCATAAACCCCGTCATTTAGGAGTTCATCATCATGTATTGAATGTAAAACTTGTAAAATAGAGGATAAAGTCAACTCACATAGTTTGTCACTAAACTAAGAATAAAGAAACTTTACGGCCCTGGTCATGTACGTAAGTGAAGGGTTACAGACGTGTCTTTTCAGAGATGTTCTCTTTATTTCACACCTCCGTGCTCCTCCTCCACACCACAGCCTCACCTCCTCACTCCGTCCTGCTGGCTTAGACACGCTCGGCTGCGGCTGAGGGGTCACCACTTGGAGGAAGACGGTGGCTGCTCACAGATCCCGGCGGTCAAAGGTCCTTCCTGTTCTCCTGGCAGAAAGGTGAGAGGAGCAGAGCGTGGGTCAGTGCTGCTGAAATCTCATTTAAGAGATTGACCCCCGAGGGCCGACTCGAGCCGGTCGGGTGCTCGGAGACGTCGTCACCCAGGATGATGTATCGGCCCGGGCTGAGAGAGGAGCACTAACGCCGCACACACACACACACCTAGGTCGACGGGCAGTAATACACAGAGCTTCAGAGCATGTCACAGTGGTTACACGTCTTTTATCAGATAAGATGAAACTTTAAATGAGCCTCATGTGGAAACTCTGAGGTTACAGCAGCAAATAATAACAAAGGAAATGATAAAGATAAGATTATAGACGGGGGCAAAATCATACACAACAGATAATTTCTACTAGAAACAGGTTAAGTAGTATGTATGCATGGGTCAGGGTATGAAAAGAGATAGGAGCTGCAGCAGAGAGGATGCAGTATGGCTTATAAACTGGTTCAGAAATACTGGGGGGGTCTTCTACAAAAGTAACACTTAAGATGTTTCTGTGCAGGGAGCTGAAGTGTTTCCCCAGCTGTCAGCGCACAGGTGAGTTTAGAAGTGGTCCCCCAAATGGTCGACCTAGGTTCAAGTCCGACCAGTGGCTCCTTCTGCCGCCCCACTCTCTATCCCTGATTTCTGACTCTATCCACTGTCCTACCTCTAAATAAAGCCCAAAAAATAAACCTTAAAAAAGTGCTCCTACCTAATATTTACAAGTCTAAACCTGCATAACAGCGAGTTCTTTACAAACATCACAGCCACAAGTGTTAGTGGAGCTTTAGATTATTGATTGTGATTGGCCTTCACTGAACGTTGACGGATTGAAATATCTCCGAATGCTTTGCAGGAGAACAAGATGAGCTTGCAAATGTGCCGTTGTTTGCAGTTAACAATGTAAAGAGAAGAAGAAGAGGAAGTACCAGGTAGAGGAAGGATAAACATCCAGAGTCCCCGATCAACAAAACAAAACATAACTTCCAATCATTTGTAACTTGGTTATAAATCTGATTTCTTTTGTTCAAGTCTAACTTCATATTCAGTCTAGCAGGAGAGCCTGCGCATAGTGCACACAGCGCCGGTTTAAAGATCACAGGAGCTCAGCTGAGGCTCATTAGCAGCGTTTAACCTGATGTAAGATGGCAGATTACGGAGTAAATTGAGACGTGTCACGGTGATAAATTTCAGGTGGCGGTCTAGATAAGCTCATTGTGTCACTTCTGTGTTATTTAATCTCTGTGCTCTTGGTCCTGTGCCAAAAGGAATCAAAGGATCGGGTATCAGTGACAGTGGAGGGAAGTGTGTGTGTGTGTCTTGTTTTGTGTCTTCTTCAGGAGACCACTTGAGATTTTAGCTTGAAGTTGAGAGGTGTACTTTGAGGCTTAGGTTTTGACAGGTAGAGTTCTATTCTCTTATTTTCATCTTGAATAAACACACACAGGTAGTTTAAGGTGGATGCATTTTAACCATTTTAGTAATTTAACCTTTTGGACATCTTTGTCTTCTTCTCTCTGACAGTCATTTTCATTTCCCTCCCTTAATTCTGCATCTGTCTTTCTCTCAGCATCTTCCTGTCATGGGGGAACCATATGTTCTTAAAAACGCCATTTGTTGCTACTTGTTTGAATTATTGCGAGTAGCGCGGGTGTTGCAGCGAACAGAAGGGAACAAAGACGGTGAAATGAAGCCCTCATTGATCTCCGTATTGAGAACATCTGCCCTGAACCTGCGGGATGGGGGTCGGGGGATTTGAGGAGTTGTGGGAAGTTGCGTGCATACCAAGCAGCTGAGTTCAGGTACAAACAAAGTTCATTTGGTGGATATTATTAGGAGTTTATTCGATACTATTTCAACCCTCGAGGCTCTACAGGAAGATCACCTTCTTTAACCCTTAAGTTACCTACAAGAACAAGATGATGGAGTCGATAGTATCACAAATATTTTTTATGTTTTGGCTTATCTTCCCCATTACGATCATGGCTTGCACAACTCTCATCCAGAACTTTTGGAACAGGGATGAATTGGGTGAATTGACAAAACAGACAAATACAATCATAAAATGGCAAATAGGATCAGTTTATTTTATGTCATTTTAAAGAATGTGCTTTGAATGAAGAAAGATTTTAAAGATCCCTGCTAGGAAAAGAAGTGTGTATATGACCAAACATTTTTTACATTAAAGGTCACCTGAATGTGATTTATTTCAGATGGCACTTTGCCCTTTTCAAACAGGGGAAGTCCATCCTAAATCTACGTGTCTGTCACTTCTGGAGTCATTGTAGTTAGTAAATCTTCTCATGCATGACTGGCTGGTAAAAAGTTGTGTTTTTCTCTTTCTAGCAGCAACAATAGAGTTTGAGTGTTGCCAATAAAAGTCCATCATTGGTTTCAGTTGCAGAGACAATAAAACAAACAACTTCTTCGATTTAAGTTTTCAAGAATGATGCACAAAGACAAAAAGAGAGACTGCAGTAAAGGAGGGGGAGTTATGTGGCTCTGCATCCAGAGGAGCAGGAAATACCACGAACCAGAATCCAACGCAACCACAGCAAAGACTCAGCTCGGAGGATGAAGGACTTTTAACGACTGCACATTTTGTGGCTCAAATCCATGAACCACTTGGCTGGCTCGCTGCATCCGAGCAACAGGGTCACACCCCATCTTTGGAGGCTGTCACAAGTTATTCTGGGGGAGTGAGAGGAGAAGTAAGTGAAGTCGAATTAGACGAGGCCGTTTGGAGGGGAGAGCGGGGTTCACTAGAAACGTAAGTTAAACCTCTTCATCACAGAATAACTCCTGGAATGCATAGAAATCACAGATTGATGATATCAAGGAGAAACTGTATCCAAGGGAGGGGTTTTCTTTTAACTGCCAGCTGCTGGAGGTTTTTGCGGTGCAGCTGTTATTAAATAAATGTCCCATCGTAGGCTCAGTATCAGGATGGCGTGGAGATCAAACGTAAGGACGCCTGTTTGAACCTGCCTTAATTATAATTGGAGGAGAGCTGGAGATCAAATGTTTTATATCGCATTGTAATCCTGAAGCTGTATCCGTTTCACACAACGGGGCTGACAGTTTCCCTTTCGTCCAGACGCAGGACGGGAGCACGTGCAGCCACAACGGGCCCACATGTGGAGCCCATTATGAGGGGGGTCCAGTGTTTACGGTGGACGCAGATGTTGGATGTTTAACATGGCACGGGCCGCGCGGCGAGTTTTGACAGCTCGCGGTTTCAGCTCGACCTACACTTTTGGTTGTCGGGCCGCTGAGACGAAATGTCAAACACGCAGATAAGGGGGCCAAGTAAAATGTGATTGTGGCAATTCAGTTTCTCCGATGCCCGGCCCGATCTGTCCAACGTCGGTCAACACCTCGCGTGTGTTTGGAGGGAAGGATCCAAGGCTGCAGGGCTTCCTGAAAACCACCCACTGCTCAAGGAAAATAGATGGATGGATGAATAAATACATGAGTAATATTCTGAGGAGGAAGGGGACGCTGATTAGAGGATGAGTGTTTGTAGACGAGTGAAAAAAAAATGGAAAAGGGAGTGCGATAGGAGGCTTTGAAGAAACAACAGAAGGTAACATCTCATGGTGATGAATGAAGCAGTGATTTGTGTTTTACAAATGAATGAATGGATGAAAAAGAAATCTAAAAAAAGAAGCTTTTAACCCCTCAAATGTGGACCTCGTGAGTTTGTTTAAATTGATGAGAATTCAAACTATGGCGGTGAGAGTTTTCATTCTTTTTGCGACAGAAAGCTCAGGCCTTGATCTTCAGCATCATCCTGTCATCAGTTTGAGGATGACTTTATGACGTTCTGTGTGAGCGGTGTCAAACATGGTGAATTACAAAGGAAGCAAGGGGACGTTGCAATCTGACCACAGTACTGATTAGCTTAGCATAAAAACACATTCACAAGCTAATTCCAATAAACTCAAAATTACACTCTCAAAAAACGGGAAGGAAGATGAAGGAATCAATGTGAGGATGGCTGAAAACCTGTTGGAGGATGACTGAGGGATTTAATTTATGGATAGAAATAGTATCTCTCTTTCCATTGAATGTAGATTTTTGAAAGGCCTTTTAAAAAACGGGCATATTAAGCTGAGGTGACCCCAGAAAGAATGTGACCCTCAACAGAAGAGTCCTCATGTGTTTATCAAGGTAAGTTAAAAATACAGAGCAGATAACCCTGAGTATCTGCAGCCTCGGGGGCAATCACACATTTCAGAATATGCTGCTGTCAATTTAATATTCCTGGCCTGTGGGGGAGTGAGAGATCAGGTGACTGGGGTATAAATAGGCCATCCGCCATCGGTTCATCTCAGCCGCCTCCTTGACGGGATCAGAGTGACTGAGGACTGACTCTGATGTCACCAGAAATCAGGACATGTGTCGCTGAGGGACCCTCTGAGTCGGCGGTGAAGCTTCGGTGTGTCCGCCAGACACGGACGGGGCGGGGATGAGGTTTACATCTGTTTTTTCTGAAGTGATGGAGGTCACAGGGATCGCACCGGCGGGGTCTGGAGGTGAACAGAGAAACGCTGGAAATGCAAAGAGAAGCAGCTCAGACAGTTTCTCCGATCCTGCTCGAGGCGGTGCATACCTGAACAGATGTAACTGTCAGGCTCAAATATACATGAATGTTTCCAGAGGGTGAATAAACCTTTGCATCAATCTACAGGAAAATAAAATCCCTGATGGTCTATTTTCGCAGCAAGGTAGCTTTAACCCTTTTAAATCAGGTGCATATGAGTGGGAACACATCCACAGTGTTGGCCTGGGGTAATATTTGTTGGAGGAGGGAGAAGTACACCGTTATAGCTGCAGGATACCTCGTATACAAGAGCTGGGTTTACCCTGTTTGGATGCTTCAAAGCAAATACTGCAAGAGCCTTCAGGGAATTTTCGACTGCTGATAAAAGATTCTTATGTTCTGACGTGTACCACCTTTTAAATTTGGAGATTAACATGCAAAGAAACTCAGAGTGGTGAGTGTTTCCCCAACAGAGGCCTCCTATCAAGGTGGAAAAGCTTCTAAGACAACATTAACATTGTTGATGGACTGTAAAAGACTCCAGTGAAAGCAGAACTACTGAACTTCATTTAACAGCTCCTTTAGTCAGGCTTCACTGCAGGTTTGAAAGAGTTGCTGCTGAAGGTTCAAAGTAAAGCAGCGTCCCTATTCTTCATATATTAAAAAAAGGAGAAATACACTTAAACACATTACATTTAGAGGCTCTCTGGATCAAGATTTCAGAGTTTATTTAGCAAAAGATGAGCATAAGATATAGAAAATACTATTCAGAATCTGAATAATTTGAGAGACACTCATTTATAATAACTTAATGCTTAACAAAGGTAGAACAGTTCGTAGGGATGTGAAATTATTTAAAATACTCCCAGAAATGAAGTCTACACGATATGATACGACACAGTGCTGTATGGCAATGCAATGCAATACGATATCATCATATGACACGAGACACTGCACAATATGGCACGATGCAACATGGTACCGCACAATATGGCATGGTGCCATCTTCCAGCCATGAAGTTTTCTGTATTCTTGCTTAAAAAAACATAATTACAACATCAGCTGCTGTTTTCTTTTTGGCAGTTGAAAAACAGAAGTGCAAGAGGGGCCTAGCAGGCGGGGCTAAATTATCGAGGCAATGTGCAACAGTTTAACATGTAATTTAAGACAACAGCAGCCGTGTGTACCGATGTTTGACAGAATCCGAGAGTCTGTTTACCATTAGCTTCTTTACATACTGGCAGCCTAAATATCACAAATGTTAAGACTTCAGTAAATGTTCAGATTTCTTTTCTTATTTCCTCCCAGCTTGGCTTATAAAATTCTTAGAGCTTTCTCCATTACGCCATTCTCCTGGATTCCCTGGGAAATTCAACGCACCCTTTATAATTACTGCACCAACTGCCGGCTGACAAGACTCATTTGCCTTTGCTGGAAGAGGTTGTCTCTTTCCTTAAGTACCTCTGTTGTGCTGATGCCCTCCCCCCTTGTCACTACAAATTCCCATCTTTACCTACGCAGCCAGTGGCGCCTTCAAATATGGATACACGGCCTGCTTAAGGAGAGCGCTGTCAAGATAAACAGGGATAGGGATGCTCAGAGGGGCTAGATTTCCAGGCAGATTTCCTGTGTTGGGATTAATGCCGAGTGAGTGAACATGGTGGAAAAAGGTTGGCTTTGTGATAGGTGGGCGAATGTCCTTGAAAAATACTCGCTTGATAAGGAAGCTTTTCTTTTTTGATGAGAACACTAAATGGAAATCGTTTGAGTTTTCCACAGAGGCATTTTAATAAGTCTAATATAATTTAAGAAACATAATCATTCAAGAAATTGTGTTAAAGGTGCATTCGGGGGTTTAAAGAAATCGGTGAACAGTGTGACTCTTTACGGCACATTTCTAACTTCCCCTGGGTTTAGTTTCACGTCAACATCAGACAAACCTTTACGCCCATAAATCCATGATGTGACATGCTGTTGAAAATGTAACCACAAACACTATTAATGCAGTAAGGTTCAAGTACTTTGCAATCTGTTAGTGCTGCAGGCGTGTCATAGTATGTTATGGTCACCTGGGATCAGCTGATAGTTCATAAATAAAGGACGAGAATACAGGCTGCAAACACAACCACATGTCACGGCTATGAGAGACAAAACAAACCTATTTGTTTTGTCTCTATCTGTTGTGCTAGTTAATAAGAAATACGTTCTGGGATGATATTTCAATAAATTATCAATATTGCAAGCTGATACTAAGTGAGAGGTGATTTCAAACTGATCATAAGTCTGTGGTTTTATTGGAAAATTGAAGATTTTTCCTTCTAAAAAGAAGAAAGGCTGAAACATTTAAGAGGTTTGTTTCACAATATTCTGATCCAAAAGTGTTTGGTTGCAAAGAAAAAGGAGTAAGTGCAAAATCATACATAAAAGTAGTAGATTGTTCTTTTCTTAATCGGAGCAAAATTTAAAAAGAAATTGTAATATTAGTTAGCCGGTTTAACTTTGAGCTCGCGCTGCTTTGAGGAATTTTAGTGTGAAAAAAAGCCTTAAATTTAAATGTGAGCTTCTCTTATGACATTTAGTACCTACAGTTTCAGACTGACTGCATATTTAATGCATCAGAAGGGTAACTTTGCTTTAACTGGTGGTAATCCCGTCTGTTTCCTGCATGTTGCTCATTCCACATGACAGATGGCTCAAACAGACAGGTAGCTGCTCCGACTACAACATCAGAATATGTAATGTCTTTGTGAAGGGGCCTCCACCCATCCCTGTTGTCTCTTTTCCCTCTGCATCAGGAAAAAGAGGATGTCTTCCTGTCCGAATGTCTCCTCTGTTAACGTCGCCTCCGTCTGTCTCTGCAAAGTGAGCACATGGTTCATGCATAAATCAGCAGCACGGTGATCCCAGGTTGTCCCCCGATGCAGCGCCTCCGGTGATCTGGCTACCGGAGCCTGCTAAACAAATATGAAACCGCGCCACTTTGTGTCACAAATTTTTACATTCAACAGAGGTCACGTGAAAGCAAGAGGAACCTTTTTCGCCCATCTGTGAGCTAAAACGCTAAAAAGGTGGGCAAGCCTCATGGGAAGAGAGCAGAGAGAGAGAGAGTGAGGATGTAAGCCATTACAGCTGTGCATGTCACACAGCTATCTAAGATGCATGATCCCTGTGGCCATTTCAAACATGCACACTCTTACCTGTGTGTCCCCGACTAAATCACAAGATGTGACTCCGATCTATTAAATATGATGCATCTGACAAGAGTGAGGGGACAAAGTGGAGCCGTCACACCAGGGTCATGCATTCATGCGTTCACCTTTTCATCATGCTTCAGTGTTTCTCTGGATAGATCTTCAAGCCAATGGAAACACAATCCACAAAAGCCTTTGAAATTCATGGTTTTACGTTAAAAAAAAAATTCAAAGGACCAGAAATCAGCTTCAAACCAAATGTGAATAAGTTTTTAAAAACTTTCCTGATATCTGGTTTCAATTAGTTTTATTAAAAAAGATATTATAAGCGAAGACTCAAGGTGATCAGGTAAATGAAGGCTCACAGTTTTTGACCGTCTCTACATGTCAGTGTTTTACATTTATTCTGGTTGGTTTGTTATTGTATTTGGATTAATTGAAAAGTCATTTGTGTGGATTACAGGAATCTTTAGATCATGGACTATGAATGAATGGATCTGAACTGATGATGCACGTTGGACGTTGCTTACTGCTTCATGAACACACACGTGATGGTGTAGCTCTTAATTCAACCCTCATTCAGCGGGTTTGTTCCCTTAATGGGTTACAGAGCATCCTTTAAGCTTTACGTAATAGATTTTAAATAAAATATGGATATCTCAGCTGGCGTTGCATGCTAAATGCTAACAAAGATATGAGTAGCAAGGCTTATAGCAGTGACCATTGAAAATTAATGATTCTAAGACAAAGGTGATTCTTTTCTTCCTCTGTTTCTGACTCAGACATCTCAAAGATGATGTTTAGGGAGGAGCCAGACTCAAGGTGTCAACCCAAACATTAATGGCCAGGCTCACAAAATCTTGACAAATGTCTAAACAGCAGAATGAGCTGGATTTTTCTTCTGAAAATAAAAATCCAATTTGATATACATGCATTACGTTTCCTGTGGCATACACAATAAAAGAACAAGCTTCAGACGATCAAACATCTACTCCACAGGTCAAAGTCGGGAACTTTGGACCAGATAAAGAACCGTAAATGAATGAAAGTTTGAGAGAGATCTCTGCAGTCCTGAGTGGGTTTTCCACACTGATCACATCTGTTCTGTTAAATCAGAAACTGGGTCAACTTTGAAGTGCAGTCGGTGATGGCCGCGAGGCAAACAAACACTAATATAAAGAAGAATATATGAATATGTTTCCAGGAGAATCATTTGTGTACTTTCTTCAGACCTTATTTCGACTTAGCCTATATCACTCTGACACTACATAAATATAAATATAGGATATGAAATCACGTCATTAATTATTTAGTATCTGCACGAGGCTGCTCTGGGAAACACATTTACATACTTTCAGAAACACACCGATCTCATAAGCTTAGAGAATAAAATGTGAAGAATATTTACATCATGGACACTCTCCCGGTTTCTTCACATTACACTTTAGAGAAATGTCTGCACAGGAAGCTACACGTTCAATCCTAAACCTTTCAATCTTCTCTGTCCTCGTGATGAGGACGATGATAAAGCTTCTTTCTTTTTTTTTTGCGTTATTAAACATGGTCTCATAGTTTGGGCATGCAAAACACCCGATCCAGGGTGCAGCACAGATTATAACCCTAAATATCTAACATCTTCAGAAACAGAGTTGACAAAGAGCTTTAAACAAGCAGGATACTTGGAAGGTAGTACAACTCGAGAAATCTGGACAATGAATACATTAAGTTAAAGCAAGAAGACACGAGGCGCAGAAAAAAGGAAGACAGGAGGATGATATAAGCTGAGGCTGGAAGAGGTGGAAGATAAAAAAACAAA